GCCCTGCGGCCGCGCACGGCCGTTGCCGCACGTGCGGGCACCGTCGTGAGGCGAGCTTGGGGCACTGCTGCCACGCCTTCCCGCTGTCTTCCAGGGGGGCGGAGGTGAGCGGGTCAAGGACGACGACGACGTCGTCGACGACGACGACGACGGCGAGGAGGACGGCAAAGACAGCGAGGACGACGGTACCGTCCTCCACTCTCTCAGGTCTATGGTTGTCTCAGGGGGTCTGGAGGGGTCCGAAGGTTTCCCAGGGCCCCTGGGTCCCCCAGAGGCAACCGAAAACCAACAAGAGGCCCAGAAACCCCGATCATCGATCGACGACGACGACGACGACGACGCCGACGACGACGACAACGACGACGACAACGACGACGACGACGACGACGAGCCTCGGGACCGCTGCCCGAGCCACCGCCGCAGGCCGCCAGCAGACCTCTGGAAGGCCTCCCAAGAGCCGCCGCCGAAGGCCGCCCAAAAGGCCGCCGAAGGCCTCCGAGACGGCGGTCGGCGGCCACGGAGAGCATTCTCCGCGCCGGCCTCGGGAGGCCGCCAGTGGTCATCGGAGGCCGCCCGAGGGCTCCACGAAGGGAGGGTCTGATCTGGATCGCATCGCGAAAGCGGATCGGATCGGAAACGGATCGGATCGCCAGCAGATCGTCCGGACTCGAACCGAAATGGGATAACCGCGCTCAACTCAGGCTGGCCCCGGCCGACGCCGGCGATTCGACACGAATCGCATCAAGTCGGAATCGCAGCCCCAGCCAGCGACTCGGATCGCATCTACTCGGATCGCAGGCAGCACCGAAGGGCCTCCCGAGGGCTCGCCGACGGCCGCTTCGAAGGCCCCTGGCGGCCCCGGGAGGGCTCGATCAAAGGCCTCGCGCCTCGATCCTTGAGCGGTCGTTTCGCGGCACTCTCGCTCGGGCGACGACGACGACGACGACGAACACGACGACGACGACGACGACGACGACGACGACGACGACGACGACAACGACGACGACGACGACAAAAAGACAACGACAACGACAAAGAACAAGGCGACCACCACGACGACGACAACGACGACGACGACGACAAACAAGAACGACAATGACGACGACGACGACGACGACGACGACGACCACGACGACGACGACGAAGAACACGACGACGACGACAACGACGACGACGACGCAGACGACGACAAGGCGGACGACTGCGACGACAACAACCACCATGGCGGCGATGATCCTGCTGGCAGCGGCGGCGAGCCTCGGGACCCACTCGTCGAGGTCCAGGTCGCCGCCGCTGTCCTTGGGGCCGCCGTGCTCCATGGGCGGCACGGGCCCTGGCCAGCGGGCGGGGGGAGAGGGCTTTGGCGGGGAGGCCAGGGCACCTCCTTGGGGATCTGGGGACCTGGGTGGGAATAGGGGGGAAACAAACCTACCTCGCTTTTGACCACCCTCGCTTCCAAGAGATACCAAACGATGCCACATTGCAGCCTGTACTGGTCAGGCTGCTTGACGAGGAGGCGCGTGGTATGGCTTGGTTTTGCCTGGAAGCGAAAGCGGGGTAGGTAATTCACGCTCTGATGGGAATGGACGTCGGATCACCGTCGAGGGCGCTTCCTCTCCACGCGCCCGAGGACTTGCTGGCAAGAGTGCCTTCACGAGGCCGCCCAGGGTGCCGCACCGCGCACGACGGCCAGGAGGGTCCCCAGGGAAGCCAAGAACCTCGGCCACCACGCAGCCCCGTGCGCTCCCTCGGCCACCCGCACAGCGGCCACGAACACGAGCCTCCACGGCGGAGGCGAAACCGGAAGAGGCCAGCACGCCCACGAGGGATGGCGTGGTGAGCTGCTGCGAAAACCGCCCGGCCGGCACGGCGGCAGGCCGCGCCGAGGGCACTGGATAAGGAACCCTTGGAGAAGGAATCCAGAATTTGGAGTCCCGAAACGGTGCGGTGACAGAACGTGCGGTGACCTCGAAATCCCCCAAGACCTCACCGCACGGTCCGTCACCGCACGCGCACGGTGTTGGGACCTCGGAGGCCCCGGTCGCCCGAGACGTCCTCGGAGAACGACTCGAGTCCCAGAACCGTGCGGTGACCCCGAATCCCCACCGGCTCACCGCACGGTGTGGTCACCGCACCGTTTGGGGGCCCCCGACAGGAGCTGGAAGCCGGTAGGGACGCTACCGGAGGCTTGGCACTGCACATATCACCAGCGCCCTCACAGGACAAGGAATCCTCTCCAGGGTCTGAGGCCTCCTGGGCAGTCCTGAATGGACGCCCCCTCCGTAGTGTTGAGTGTTCGACGCTGTGTCGGAGAAGGCGGACGAATCAGGCAGGTGGTGGGGAGCAAACACAATAGCAAGGTTCATCCGATCAGGCGTTCCCATCACCGTGCTACTGTTGAGCAGAGTATCAGATGTATACACTCGCACGTCATGGATACTTGTTGTTCCCTCCCGAAAAAAGGGAGACAACACAAATGACGGACGGCTGCTCAACACGAACAGGGGATCTGGATACCGCATGTTTCACGCGAGGCATTCTCGTCCAGCTTCGCGCTCAAGGTACATCGCGGATCGATCCAATTCGAGGCATCCCGCAAGAAGATGGGACCGACGGTTCTGGTCGTGATGTTCCGTGATGCTGTAATCTTGTCACGACTTCGGAGTTCGGATCTCAAGGGACACCCTCCAGCACGCCGACCCTGTCGTCGTGCTGGACCGTTCCTGTCGTCGTGTGTGAATGGCTTGTCCGTTCGAGTCGTCCTCGTCGTAGCTGCCGGCTCCTTTCCCTGGGGCCCCCATTTCCCTGGGCCCGTCGCCGCTTCCCCCCTTTTCCTTTGCCATCCACCTAAGCGTGCCAGCAAAAGCGGCATTGAGTAACTTCGCAATTCATTCGAAGGAAGTCCCCTCCCTTTGATCCCTCCCCCATCGGGGGGGTGGGGATCCTGGGAGGGTCCCGGGAGGGGTCTGGGGGTGGGTCGCCACCCAGATAATTACGATTCCCCCCGAGGAGGGGTCTCAGGGGGGTTGCCACCCAAATACGACTCCCTCCTGGGAGGTCCCGGGTCCTGCAAAGCCCCAGGGTGGGCCAAGAGTGCCCGAAGAGGCCCTAAGACGGTCCAGGAGGGCCCCGCATCGCCGAGCGATCTGTCCAAGACGCCTTCCTGCCCAAGGGGGGGGCCTCGAGGAACCTCGGGAAAGCGACGGCGGCGACGGCGGCGACAATTGCCATGCAGGAAATGGGTCCTCAGGATAGGGAGGCAACTACTGGGAGGTCTTCGCCGGAAGGAAAAAGGAGGAATAAAAACCCCATTGGGAGGCTGTTACGCCGGACGATTCCGCGGATTAAGCGGGTTTAAACTGGATGCAACAGGATTAAGCCGGATTAAGCGGGGTGAAGCCCGATTTCGGGCAAGGCCAAAGTCAGAGTTTGACACCCCAGGAGTCGCATACGAACTCGGGTAAACAGGCCCTGGGCCCTGGGCCTTGAATAAACAAAAAGGTACCGATACCGCTACTCCCCGGACCTCTCCTGGGGTGCGTTCTGACCAGAATTTCCAGGCGAATCCAGCGATGTTGACGAGGGCCTCCCCAGGAGACCCACAAAGGAGAAACGAGGGAAGGGCAGCCGTCTGAAAGCAGAGAAGGTAGGGCCGTAAACTCCAGGGAGGCATCATGGCCCGCGGCCATGGCATCCACCACCTGCACCAGAATCATCACCCCCTGGGATCCTGGCCACTCAGATTTTGTCGAGCCAGGCGCGTTCGCCCTTCAAAAAATGGCGCAGGACGATGGGGGGTCTGAGGTTCTGGGCGTAATGTCTACGATGTTGAATTGTTCTCGCTGCGTCGGATCTCAGGCCTCTCCCCTTTTTGGACGCCTCCGACTCATGGCTTGGCACCCCGACGTGGGTACAGCCAGAGGCTTGCAGTATGCCCAGCAGCGGATGCTGTCAAAATCCGGCAACGCCCGGTGTTGAGCAGGCGACCCTCTGTCTCAAACGGACAGCCTCGGCGGCGACACCTGCAGCGACTCCTGTCCAAAACGGACACGAACGGATGTCGGCCTTCGTCCCCTCTCTTTCCGTGACCATGACGACATGCTCGTTTGGGGGGCCTTCCTGAAGCCACTCGCTCCACGCACGGGTCGATGCTCCGTCGAAGCTCGATCGGCTTGAGTCGCACTTGAGTCGCACTCGAGTCGGAGCCTGCGCCGAGCTGGAGTCGATCTGGAGTCCAACTGGAGCTGAACTGGAGTCGAACAGATCCGCCAGGTGGGCCCTGGAAAGGCCCCTGGGACGAACGTCGAGAGATGCAGACCGTACCGAGTGGCGACGTGAGGGGATGGACAGACCTCCCTTTAGTAAAACGTGGTTTAGTGAAAACGACCTGAGGCCCAAACCTGGAAAATAACGGCCACGGCCCCCTCTCGAAAACCGAAAACGGACAATTCACTAATCGACGTGTCACTGTTGGGGGTTCTGTCCACCCCCGAGACGTGAGGGGCAACGTGACGACAGGGGCAAGGCGAAGTGGTATCTCGGCTCTCCAACGGCCGCTCGGGATGACTCCGACACCCCCGAAACGCTCTCGGCGAGGCGCAGCCGCTAAAGCTTGGCGGGCCCCGGAAACGGCAGGGCCGTTTTAGACACCGTTTCCAGAAAAATGTCCCTTGAAAATGGAAACGGCAAAAAGACGGCGACCGGAAACGGCAAAAAAACGGCTCCAGGAGATCAGAACCGGAGCCGGAACCGGTCAGAAGACGGCGACGGAATTCCGGCAGAAAAACGGCGCTGGAACCGGCAAAAAAAAACGGCAAAACGGAACCGGTAAAAAAACAAAAACAAAAAAAACATAAAAAAACAGCAAAAAAAAAAAAACAAAAAAAAAAAACGGGCCTGTCGTTTCCAGGGCCCACTTAAGCGCGACAGGCATCCCGAGGCTGGGGGACCGACGAAGGCCGACGACGGCTCTCCCGAACCCCTCGAGCTTCGCAGGCCCGAGCCGCTCCGCCCCTCCATTGGGCACATTCCCCCCTGGAGCCTCCATTCGTTAAAGGCTTAACGACTTCTGCCGTCCTTCGACTCGCGCTGGAGCGGCCGCGAAGTGCTCGAACTTTCCCTGGAGATCTCTGGATTTACCTGGATTTACCCAGATTTATCTAGATTTACCTGGATTTACCTCGATTTGCGAAATGAGCAAGGATGCTCCTCGAGGGTCCTCGCCGACGGAAAAATGCACACGTCCGAGCGATGCCAAGAACGAGGCGATGACCCTCAAAGCGTGTGCTCGCGCACCCGTGTGCTTGTCCACCAAGGGCCCTTCGGCACGACGCCGGCCGTGCAGTGAGGGCCCCAAGACAACTTTGCCGCAGCGGCGAGAAAATCCTACGGCAGGTTCGCGCGGCGCCGGCACGCGCAGAGGTTGCTGACATCGCGTCGATCGCTCAACCTTGAGTCGATCGCGGCCCCCATCGTTCAAGGGTGAATTCCGTACGGTTCGTCCCTCGGCACATCTGCGTCGGACTTCAGCCTTGAACGCCTTCGCCGGCGTCGCCGGCGCGCCAACGCCGCATGAGCCTAATTACCGTTAGGTCGGGCGTGCCCTCCTACAGACGGAATTTTGGAAGGAAATGGAAAACAGTCAAAAAATACAAATTGTCAAAAAGAAAAAGTCCCCAGCCTACTTTTTGATTATGTTTAAATATTCCTCCTGTAGAAGGACATGCCCGACTTACGCCTACCGAACCGCAAGATTCTCATACCGCCATCCCCCGACCTCTCGCGGGGTGCGTTCTGACCGGAATTCCGAAGCGAATCCAGCGGTGGCGACGAGGGCCTCCCCAGGGGGCCCAACAAGGGGAAAACGGGCGCAGGGCAGCGGCATCGGCACCCCCTTCCTCCTCCGAGCAGCCGCGTTCAGAGGCAGACGTGGGGTGCACGTGTTAAGGCCCAGTAAGACGACCGGCGCGCTGACCCCCCCCTTCGCGACAAGAGGCGCGTGCACCGTGCACATTGCCGAGCCGGGCACGGCGAGCGGCGGGGGGGGGCCGAGAGGCGCGCGGGGGAGGGGGGAGGGGCGCACTCCCGGGCACGCAGCACGCAGGCCTCGTGCGTGGGCAACGGAGGGCGCGCACAGGAGGATTGCGTCGGGCATGTCCCTCTAACAGGAGGAACATGCGAAAATAGCCCAAAAATAGCCTGGGGACGATTTTGTTGACAATGCCTTACATATTTTGAAGCATTGTTTGACTATTTCCACCTTTCCTTCCAAATGCCGTCTGTGACCCAACAGCAAGAAGACGAGAAAACTCCGAGGATGTGAGTACAGTCGGGCTGCTGAACTGAGGAAGGATAAAAACAGGGGGCGAAGCCCCTCGTTGGCCCCCACAGTGCCTGCGTGCACGAGGAGCGTCAGAGGAACCGCTACGGGAGGACCCGAGGAACATCGAGGCCCTTCTGTCCCCAACGTGTTCATTAGTTTAGCGTCTTGCCTGCAGCACGCAGATTCCAGGGGCCTCGAGCTCAGGAAATGTGAGCGGACCGATATGGCCGGAGTGATATCGGCGGAGCTAAGCGGGGCAACCACACGCACACACACACACACACACACACACACACACTTACTGGGCTAACTCCACGTCCTGAGGATCGCCGGGGATGGCTAGAAAAGTGTCCCTGGCCCAAGGCGCCAGCTTTTCCATCAATTCTCGAGCGCCTGAGGCCATCCTGGGCCTCGCGAGGGGTGATCTGGAGCCGCCAACCCAGTCGGCGTGTGTGAGACGCTCATCGACGCGAGGCCAGCCCAACCCAAGCTGAAGTACGCCAGCCTCCTTTGGATCGTCGTCGTAAGGGAGATCGAGCAAAGAAGGGGGATCGAACACTGTCGCAGGTGCGCCGAGGGAAGCCGTTTCCTTTTGTCTCTTCCCCGCCGGGGGGGGGGGGGGGGGATGTCGGTCCGGGGTGGTCCAGAGGAGGGAGCAGGTTGGGAGTCCCGGGGGGAGGTTTCAGAGGGGGTTCCCGGTGGGGGTCCCAGGGGGGGGTCCCCGGCAGTCGTGACCCCCACACTGGGCGGCTCCCCCCCTGTGGAGAAGAAGGGGGGCGGCCTCTCTGTCCGCGGTGGAGCTCGGGACTCCTCCCCCCTCGAGCAATGTCGCAATCAATTGCCTCGAAGGGAAGCTCTTTCGGCCAGAGAGCCCAGAATCAAATCGACGAGTCGGATCGGCGATCGACATGAATCGAATCGGTGGAAATCGACAGCCAAGCCGGGAGAAAACGAATCGGCAGAAATCGGCAGGCCAGCGGGCCTCCATTGAGGAATCGGAATCCGGATTGGAATCCGAAGTCGAATCGAATCGGAATCGGAGGCCGTCGGAACCGAACCGAATCGAATCGGAGGGATCCAAGTGGCACTGCTCCAGCCAGGAGCACTGCTAGCAGCACCCGACGCAGAGGCGAGGCGACCGAGGCGAGGCGGCCGCGGCGCCGTCGTGCGCCGGCCGCCCCCTCTCAGCGGCCCTGCGCCATGGCCGCGGGCCCGCCGCGGGCTGGCCCCGTCCGCGGGCGGCGCTTGGAGGCGGCCGGCGGCGCCCTCGGCGTCGGCGTCGTCGGCGGCGGCGTCGTGGACGTCGAAGCCGACGTCGAAATGCCCCGGGAGGGGCACCAGGAAGCCCGAAATGCCCGACGGCGCCGTTGAAAAAATCCCCGAGATGCTCGAAATGCCCGAAATGCCAACACAGTGGTTACCGGGCAGGGGGGATCAACAACAATTAAGCTCTAGAAATGGGAACTCAACAACAGCAACAACAACAACAACAACAACAACAACAACAACAAGAACAACAACAACAACAACAATCACTTTACCCGAACGCTCAGTGTTCTCACCAGTGCCAGGGTTTTCATGCGACGCCAGCCAATACCCCCATTTGTGGGGGGGCCGGTTCAAGCTCTACCAAATTTCCAAAGACTCTTCGCCACCACCCACACCCAGCTTCCCGCCCTATGACGTTCGGACACTTCACTTCGTGGCATGCGGACGACCGTGGCTACTATTCAGGGCCCCGCGGCCGACGACGACGGCGTGCGCGCGCGAAGAAAAAACGAATGTGTCCCGCATGGTATTATTTGACAGGGATGATGGCACTGGCAGGTGCGCAACCGTTGTTGCAGAAGTTCGAAAAAGTTGCTCGCAAAAGCCCGTTTGACAGAAATGTTTAAAAAGTGTTGGTTTTCCTACGAATCCGCAAGAGCGCGCGGGATGAGATTTTGACATTTTTTTGTTGAAAAACCATTGGTTTTTTTGATGTTGTTATGTTAAAATCGTTCCGAACACTAAGCTTTTGGAAGGATTTCGTCTTGCGCGCGCGAATGTCCACTTTACCTTATTTTTTGCAAGGGATTCTTGAAATTTGATTATATTAGAACAAGAAATGTAATTTTATAGTGTTTTTTGCAAGGGAAAACGGATTACAACAAAACAACCGGATCTTGATGACATCGTATTACCTGAGGCTTCCTCACGAAAATGTTGAAAATGTAGCTGCGGCCTAGGCGGCGCAGGGGGGCCGTGCACCAGGGGTCCCAACAATAATTATTCTTTAGAATTAATAATGTTCAACAACAACAACAACAACAACAACAACAACAACAACAACAACAACAACAACAATACTAATAAGAATGCAAATAATAAGAACAACAGCAGCAGCAGAAACAACAAAACAACATCCATCTCAAGAGCGTGTGTTCTTTATCTGCTCGCGTGCCATTCAACACGTATTTCCCACACCCTCGATGCCCGCCTTCGTCTTTGTCTTCTTCTTATTATTCTTATTATTATTATTATTATTCTTGTTCGCTCGGACCCCCCTGTGGAGTATATCTTCCTTACCTGCCGCGTGCTATAAGTGCAGCCCCAGAAACAGGGGAAGAGAGGACGGATGGAAGGGGGAGGGAGAAGAATGGAGCAAGGGATTAGCAGGAGGTGGGCTGGGAGCAGAAAACACGTGGCAGAACAAGACGGGCTGATCGGGCGAGTAGATCCTAACGGGCAGGCGGGTCGGGAAGGCGGGCACAAGCGGCCAGGTCGAGCAGACGGGTTGCTGAAGCGTGAGTACCGCATGAATCGCGAGGAGGTCTCGAGCGATAGCACGACTCCCAACATGAATCACGAGAAACACCAAAGCGAGAGCGCGACTCCTCAGCGTCGATCGCGCTTCTTTTTAATACATTGCAAGCACGCCAGAGCGCGATCCATGCATGAATTCTAAGGAAGTCCCGCGCGACAGCGCGAATTTGAAACCTGATCGGATAAGAATGGGAAGCGCCGCTTTAGTCCAGTGGACGTATTGGGCGAAGAAAACAAAAAATGAAGGAGAGGGCGACGAGGCGATGACGAGGAGGACGTGGAGAACGTGAGGATAGCGAGGAGGAGCATGAGGACAACGAGGAGGAAGAGAAGCACAAGGACGAGGACGAAGAGAACGACGACGACGACGAGGAGGACGAGGACGACGACGACGACGACGACGACGACGACGACGGAGGACAGTACGAGGCAACTGGAGAAGGACGTTGAATCAGGAGAGGGTCCTGGTGACCCTATCCTGGGGGCTCCTGGCGCCGCGGGGGGGTGTCTTGGGGCCTGTTGGGGGCTTCTTGGGGTGATCTTGGGTCCTCTCGTGGGCTTCTAGGGTCTTCTTGGGTTGTCTGGGCGCGACGTGGGGTTATTTGGGAGTTTTCTTGGGCCGTCTCGGCGCCATCTGGGGCCATCTTGGGACGTTCTTGGGCAGTGTGGAGGCCTCCTGGGGCGCTCTCGGGGATCTCTTGGGGCTCCCTTGGCGCGTCGTGGGCCGTCTTGGGGCTCTCCTGAGCTGTCAGGGTGCCTCCTGGAGCGCGCTTGGGGGTCTCTTAGGGGCCCTCTTGCGGCGCTCTTGGGCGCTCTAGGGGCCCTTCGGGGAGTCGTTTTGGGCCTCCCCTGGGCCGTTCGGGCGACATCAACTCGGGGGCCCCATCCAGGGCCGATTGTTTGAGAATGTCTCGAGCGAAACGGCGTTTGTTTTAAACTCTTCCGGACTAGAACGGGAAGCGCTGCTTCTCTGCGCACGCGCGCATGGATTTGTAACCAACGTGCATGCGGGCACATGGATGCAGTCGCTAGGGTTCCCTGAGTGCCTAGATGGTCGCCATTGGCAGTCCCACCAGCCCTTTAGGGCGTCGGTGGTTTAAGGAGTTTCCTCTTCCACCCCTCCTTCTTCCCCTTCGGGGAGGGGTTTACCCCTCCCCCTACCCCCTCCCCACTGACCTGGACAGGGGGTTCCGCGGCGCGTTGGAGCGCCCAAGATCGACCCCTGGGAGGGCTAAAATTCGACACCCCTCACGAGGATCGTGGCTCCTGAGGGGGGGGCTGAAATTTAGGAACCCCTCTTCTTTGATCGATTTCCTCCACGATGGCCGCAAGAGGCCCCCAGGATGCCCCAAGAGGCCGCAGGATGGCCCCAAGATGGACCCAAGAGGCCCCCCAAGAGGCCCCCAGGAGGCCCCCAAGAGACCCCCAAGAGGCCCCAAGAGACCCCCCAGAGGCACCCAAGGTGCTCCCAGAGGCCCCAAGATGGCCCCAAGAGGCCCCAAGAGGCCCCCAGGAGGCCCCAAAGAGGATTCCGAACGGCCCACAGAGGCCCCCCCGAGGCACCCAAGACGCCGAAAAGCCCCTCAGGACGACCCTCTACTCGCCCGGGCGTCGTTTCTGGACGGGCTGGTGGGGATACGCGAAGCGTCTAGAATTCGTGTTTAGTGGTTATCTGCGGTTGCCTTTGGCAGGTATTGCGCGTGGCCTATGCTAGTGTGTGTGTGTGCGTATGTGCATGTGCTTGTGTGTGTGCGGTTGTGTCGTGTGTTTTTTTTTTGTGCGCGCGTGTGTGCGCGGGCTTGCACAGGGTGTGTGTGCCAGGGGGGCGGGGGGAGGAGGTGAACGGTGTGCGTACGGAGCCGTTGTTGTTGTAACCCGGGGGCCAGGGGCCCAGTTTGAGCATCAAGACTTTCCCTATCAAAAAAAAAGGGTGCGAGCGTCGAGGGGGCACACTTTGATTGAGAAAAACAGTATGCACTGGTGGGGGGATCAACAAAAAATATTCTTCAGAAATGAGAATTCAACAACAACAACAACAACAACAACAACAACAACAACAACAACAACAACAACATCAACAACAACAACAACAACAACAACAACAACAACAACAACACCAACAACAACAACAACAACAATCATTGTACCCTCATGCGCCATGTTTCCACATGACACATGCATCCATCTGGATAACACACCCCATCATGGGGGACTTTTCTGGCATGCGGGATCCGATATTCCCTCACCCAGATATCCCGCCCAAGAAGGTTTGGCCACCACCTCTTCCGAGGAACTTCAACATCCATAGCTCGGACGGCACATCGCCTTCGCAATCGCCTTGCGCTGCCCCGCATCTCAGAGGGAGAGGAAGAGGAAGAGGAGGGGGAGATGAGAGAGATAGGGAGGGGGAGGAGGAGAAGGGAGGGGGAGGAGGGGGAGGAAGGATGAGTAGTTGTAGTAGCAGCAGTTGATGATATTGTTGTTGCGGCTGTAGCACTAGTAGTAGTGGTAACGGTAGTAGTAGTCCAAGTAAGTAGAACTGGCTTGTGGCAGCCAAGCGTTCATAGCGACGTTGCTTTTTGATCCTCCTTTAATGTCTTCTCTCCCTATCCTTGAGACGCAGAAGTCTCAAAAAGTTGGATGGTTCAGCACATCCAGGAAACCTATCGCTGGACCGGCCCAGATATGGTTCCAGAAGCGGCTCGGGAAGCTGCGCAGGCGCCAGAAGCAGAGCACCACGTACGGGCGCCGGCTCGGGCGTCCGGCCCAAAGCCGCTCCAGAATCGGCCCAGGACGGCTTCCCGGGCGCCGCAAGCAGAAATTCAGCATTTTCGAAAGAAAAATGTGTATTGGAATGGCCTCTTTTCGGCGCGATCGGAACTGCCCGGGCGTCCGGCCCGGGAGCCGGGCCGGGTGCCGGCCGGGCCGGGTGCCGGCCCGAGCTCCGGAATCGGCCCGGACGGCCTCCCGGGCGCCGGAAGCAGAAATTCAGCATTTTCGAAAGAAAAATGTGTATTGGAATGGCCTTTTTTCGGCGCCGCCTCGGAACTCGATTTTCCGGCGCCCGGGCGCCGGCTCGGGCGCCGACCCGGGCGTCCGGCCCGGGAGCCGGGCCGGGTGCCGGCCCGAGCTCCGGAATCGGCCCGGACGGCTTCCCGGGCGCCGGAAGCAGAAATTCAGCATTTTCGAAAGAAAAATGTGTATTGGAATGGCCTTTTTTCGGCGCCGCCTCGGAACTCGATTTTCTGGCGCCCGGGCGCCGGCTCGGGCGCCAACCCGGGCGTCCGGCCCGGGAGCCGGGCCGGGTGCCGGCCCGAGCTCCGGAATCGGCCCGGACGGCCTCCCTCCCGGGCGCCGGAAGCAGAAATTCAGCACTTTCGAAAGAAAAATGTGTATTGGAATGGCCTTTTTTCGGCGCCGCCTCGGAACTCGATTTTCCGGCGCCCGGGCGCC